GGCATTTTCAAAGTCTAAAAACTGATTCTGAACCCTCAAAAATGCTCTTTGCAACCATGTACACTATGGCCTAGAATGTAGACCCTAGAAACTCACATAAGTACTAGCGACATCACTCCACATATCCGGCCTTGCCAGTGCCAATTTCGTAATTGCCGCCAGAATATCCACAATCTCCGTGAGCTGCTGATGTCCTCCAATCTCTTTACTAACATCCACATACTTCCGGACCAGCTGCTGAAGAAGATCCTGCATTTTGTACTTGTCTCGCATGATTTTGTATTTAGTCTCGTCCCCATTGCACATTGCCATCAGAAGCTTCTTCGATTGTCGATAAGCCGAGCAACCTATTGAGTAGGTCATCAGTTGACACAGTTTCTGGAACCAACGATCGTCCCGGGGTATCGATTTCTTCCGATCGAGTTCATGAAGGTGTTGAGGGATGAGAAGGACCAGATCGGTGCAGGAGATTATGTAGGCGTCATTGCTGTTGGATGGCCAGTCGGAGGATTCTGGAAGTTTGGGAAATTGAATTTTTGAACTCCCGCTTAATTTCCGGAAATTTTGAAAATTCTTACTCAAAACGGCTGCATTCGGTGGATTGGCTGAACTCGAAACCAATGGAAGATGCGGCAACCAAACCTTCCTCTGATGTCCTCCCTCTACCGTACTACCCCTTGTAATCGTGGCGGGACCTCGGCCTTTCCACTCAGGAATCAACTTTTCCAGCACTTTAAAACACAAATCTCGAATTCCAACCGATTGAAGTTCTTTCAAAAGTCTCTCGGTGATCGCTTCGCTACACTCGCATCCAGCCTCACATCGTTTTTCCAGACAAACGAAAAGCAGCAGTTCGACAGAGCGCAGAAGCGAATAGTTGGCATAGGACTCCTCGGTGAACGGGTAGATTTGATCGGCGTCGTATTTGATTAGGCTAACGAGATGCGTGAAATGGTTAGCGACGACTTTCGAATCGAGAATCGCGACACAGCTGGCGAGCACTCGAGACAGATTGTACGATGGAGAGTCGGAAATGTTTTGCCACGTGGTGGTGGATTTGGATCTGAAGTAACTTGAAAACAGGTTAGAATCTGATTCTGGATGGCCTAGATTTTCATAATTAGGTCATGGTCCAATTTTGGAATTTCAGGTCATGGCCTAGATTTCCAAAATTAGGCCAGGACCTAGATTTTCAAAATTAGCTCATGACCTAGATTTTTAAATTAGGTCAAGACCTAGATTTTTAAAATTAGGTCAAGACCTAGATTTCCGAAATTAGGTCATGACCTATATATACAAAATTAGGTCATGGACTAGATTCAAAATTTAAGACTTTCAAAATTAGGTCATGACCTAGATTTTTTTTCTAAAGTTAGAATTCTCGAATTAGGTTATGACCTAGATTTTCAGCATTCCAAAATTTCAATGTTTGGGTCATGACCTAGATTTCGGAAACTTTCAAAATTAGGCCATGACCTAGATTCCCGGAATGTAGACTACCGTACCTCGTCAGCTTGTTCAAAACCATGTTAATCAGCAATTGCAACCACTGCGTATCATCTGCCTCGTGCGATTGCTTGATTCCATTAATCTGAGAAATCAATACTGAATCCGAGCTCTCTTCGACAATCTTCGGACACCCGTAGAACTGTCCAATGCCAGATTCCGCGACTCGAGTGACACGATAACCAATTCTATGATGGAATATCTCCAGGGTTTTCGCCTGTTTCTTCATCGAATTCTCATATCTTGTGATCGTCTCCTGCACTGCTGATCTCATGTCGTTTGCCAAGTGATAAGTCGGTTGATCTGTGAAAATGTCCAAAAAGATTTGAATCAAATGCTCCGAATCGTCGGAGGTCGTATGGCTCAGAAGTCCGAAGACCACTTTTACGATGGCCTGAGCAATCATTGAGCATCTGTGAAGTGGCATTCGTTTCATTTCCTCAATCATTATCTCAACGAATTTCGTCACTGAACCATTGAATTCGTGTTTCAGCGTCTTGTAGAAGAATGCCCATCGGGTACGGACCGCTTGGAGACGGATGAGCAATTGCTCAATGTAGTTGGTACGCATTTCGTGGAAACCTACGGCGTCTGTCCATTCGGGAAGGGCCTTCCATTCTTGGAGATACGCGCTGTCGATGATTCTGGAAAAGGATTGTTTGGATTTTTGGGGAATTTGAAATTCAAATTTTCTAGAATTTAGGTCAAATTTAAATTACTGTATACATCTTTAAAAGGGGGTTCGCCCCTTCAATCGAATTCCCCACCTATTTTTACACCTAAAACAAATATTTCGAGCGATTTGTGCATTTTGTCGTAAGGTTCGGTTTTTGGTTTGGTGTTTGCACACAATCGGGGCTACAGTAACCCGAAAATACAAAATTGGGGGTTAGAGACGCAGAAAAGTGGTTTTTAGGGTAGTTTTTGATGGGAAACTCGAATTTGATATTGATTTTTACCCATATTTAATATTTTAGACCTGTTCAGGTTTTCCAGCTGTTTTCAAGGATTCTTTTTCGATTTTTCCGAGTTGTTGTGGTCTGAAAATTGATGGAATGGTGTTCGTGAAAATTTCTGTAGGTTACTGTAGGTTTTTCTATTTGCATTTTGCCGTGATTCTGTTTGTGGAAAAAACTACTACAGTAACCTACAGTAATCTTCTCGGGTACCGAGCTCGAAT